AAACTTAGTTTGATGGAAGCCGCCTTATGACTACACTACTGGGTCCCTTCCAAACTTGCCTGTAACATCGACTTAATTACTCCACCTCTGTGAGAGGCGTTGCACTTAATTTGAAGGTGATGGGTGGACAGAGAGGCAGTGTAGACGCAGCATTGTGTAAGTCGACTGAATTGGCCTCCAGGAGGTGTCCCACAATGCTCCACTGCGACTGCGCTGGAGATGGTTTTCAACTCTGCCGCAGAGCAGCGAGATATACAGGAAACAGCCCCTTCCCTCTGAAAGTCCTGGGAACTTTTGACTTTTCATTTCCTGCTCGAGCAGCATAGAAAGTTTGCCAGACCAGCTGATCACGGCGCCTCAATGCCCCAAACGGGCTCCAGGCTGGAATACACAGGAAGTGGTGGAGCGTCTTGGTCTGTGGGGAGAAGAGTCTGCACTGGCACAGCTCTCATCCAGCCGAAGAAACGTAGACATCTACGAAAAGATCATTAGGGCATGGGGGACAAGGGCTACCCCAGGGACACACAGCAGTGCCACATGAAACTTCGGCAAGCATACCAGAAGACAAGGGAGGCGAACACTTGCTCTGGTTCTGCAGCACAGATATGCTGCTTCTACAATCCAACTGCATGCGAGTCTAACTGGTAACCCAACCACTACCACTAAACACAGCAGGGATCCCTCACAGGAGTCCGAGTCCCGGGCCACCTCAGGCAACAGTGAGGAGGACATTGACCTCAACATCTGCAAGCCTAAGATGACTGCTACCAGCAGCGTTACGAGAAGGGGGTGGTGGGTTTCCTGTGTTCTCTCATGGTTGCAACCTTCCCCCCCACCCCCGTGAGCCGCGTCAGACAAAAGCCACAATTTGGGAGGCTTAATGGTCCCTGGTCTCAAAGCAATGTCCATGTTGCTAGGTGGGAGGGGGCATTGGTCACCTGACCACCTATGCTCCCGACACAGGTTTCCCACAAGTTGCAGCACATTGCCTTTGCCTCCAGCACACCCTCCACACTGGTGGAGAGGCTTTTGCAGATTAGAAAGCAGAAAATCAGAACATGCAATGACATGTTCAGTGAGATAATGAATGCCTCTGTGACAGCAGATACAGAGCTCAGAGCCTGGCGTTCATACGTTGAAAAATTGGACATGGAAAGCATCTGAGGAGCATGAATGTGTCATGCAGGATGAGATGCTGCAGATTATGAAGGACCTGAGGTGTCTGGTTGCGCTTCAAGAAAAACAGCTTGATCTTAGACGCCCTCTGCAGCCCCTGCACAATGGCCTGCAAACATCAAACTGTTCCCAATCCCCCACCCCAAAGGCTCCAGGAGGCAGCGGGTGGGAGTGCATTATCCCAGCCACTCAACACCCAGGGAGGGTAGTAAGAACAAAAGGCAGCCATTCAAAAATCTTTTGATGGACAATCTTTCCACGCTTTCACAAACAGCCTGACCTGGTTTCTCCCCTCCCAATTTTATCACACCATTTGCCCAAAGTTAAATTATTTCCTATTCTTTCAGTTTCTTTATGTTTGGGCAATAAAAGTCAATGTTTCAAGAATGAAATACTCTTTATTTATTCCAAGCATGGACATCTGGTTGGGGGGCTGGGGGGAAGGAGCAGCAGCACAGGGAAACTGATGCAACGGCAGGGATGGTATCTGAGGCACAACGCAGATAAGCAGTTGTCATAAATATAAAGGGAAGGGTAATCACCTTTAAAATCCCTCCTGGCCAGAGGAAAAACCCTCTCACCTGTAAAGGGTTCAGAAGCTAAAGGTAACCTCGCTGGCACCTAACCAAAATGACCAATGAGGCGACAAGCTACTTTCAAAAGCTGGGAGGAAGAGGGAGAAAAACAAAGGGTCTGTCTGTGTGATGCTTTTGCCGGGGACAGAACAGGAATGGCGTCTTAGAACTTAGTAAGTAATCTAGCTAGGTATGAGTTAGCTTATGATTTCTTTAAATGGCTGAGAAAATAGCTGTGCTGAATAGAATGAATATTCCTGTCTGTGTGTCTTTTTGTAACTTAAGGTTTTGCCTAGAGGGATTCTCTATGTTTTGAATCTAATTACCCTGTAAGGTATTCACCATCCTGATTTTACAGAGGTGATTCTTTTTTACTTCTATTAAAAGTCTTCTTGTAAGAAAACTGAATGCTTTTTCATTGTTCTTAAGATCCAAGGGTTTGGGTCTGTGGTCACCTATGCAAATTGGTGAGGATTTTTACCAAACCTTCCCCAGGAAGTGGGGTGCAAGGGTTGGGAGGATTTCGGGGGGAAAGACGTTTCCAAATGACGCTTTTCTAATAAAAATAAACCCAGATAAATGTTTGGTGGTGGCAGTGGAAGGCCAAGGCCAAGGCCAAAGGGTAAAATAGTTTGTACCCTGGGGAAGTTTTAACCTAAGCTGGTAAAAGTAAGCTTAGGAGGTTTTCATGCAGGTCCCCACATCTGTACCCTAGAGTTCAGAGTGGGGAAGGAACCTTGACAGCAGTGCATATTAGTGTGGCTCATTACTGAAACGGGTTTTCAAAGACTCCCAGAGATGCAGAGCTCCTCACTGGGCTCTTCTTATTGCCCTGGTATCTGGCTGCACAAAACTAACTGCCAACCTATTCACCTCTGCAACTCAACCCTGCAGAAACTTCTCTCCCTGTGCCTCACAGATATTATGGAGCACACAGCGATAACAGTGGGGATGTTGCTTTCATTGAGGTCTAACCAAATAAGCAAACTGCACCAGCAACCATCCTAAGGCACATTCCACCACCATGTTGCACTTGCTCAGCCTATTGTTGAACCGAGCCTTACTGCTGTCCAGGTGGCTGGTGTATGGATTCATGAGCCATTGGAGCAAGGGGTAGGCTGGGTCTCACAGAATTACTATTTGCATTTCAATATCATCAATGGTTATTTTTCAACCTGGAAAGAAAGTCCCCGCTTGCAGCTTTCTGAACAGACCTGTGTTCCTAAAGATGCATGTGTCATGCACCTTTCCTGACTGTCTCACGTTGATGTCAGTGAAACACCCCATGTGATCCACCAGTGCTTGCAACATCATTGAAAAGTATCCCTCAACATTTATGTATTTTTTGGCAAGGTGGTCTGGTGCCAAGATAGGATTATGCATGCCATCTATCGTCCCACTGCAGTTAGGGAAACCCATTGTGGCAAAACCATCTACTATGTCCTGCACATTGCCCAAGGTCACTACCCTTCTAAGCAGGAATTGATTAATGGCGCTGCACACTTGGCTCACAACTGCTGCCACGGTGGCTTTATCAACTGCAAATTGATTCCCCAGACCAGTAGCAGTCTGGCAATGCAAGCTTCCACAGAGCGATCGCCACTTGCTTCTCCCCTGTCGGAGCAGGTCTCATTTTAGTGTTGCTGCACTTCAGGGCTGGGGGAAGCTCTGCACAAAGTTTCTGGAAAGTGGCCTTTCACATGCAAAAGTTCTGCAGCCACTGCTTGTCATCCCATACAATGCAATCCCAGCAGTCAGTGCTGTTTTCCAGGACGGGAAATGGCGCTACACCATGTTCAGCAGCTGCACAACTGCCAGCAGCAATTGTTTCATTCTATGGCTTGCAGCATGGCTGCTTGAATTATATTGCAATGATCCACCGGTGGCCCCTGTTTTGGATCTGGAAATACTACAGGCTAAGGCATGAGGGGTTTATAATGTTCACAACAAGCATGCAGTTGAGGGGGGTCTATGTTTCTTGGGCTATGGTGTACACGCTGCTAAGCCAGGCTTTGCCTTTGATATCTGGGGAACGATGCAGGGAGGAAACTGCATTATGGGAGATCAAAGCTATCTTCCCATTCCCCCCCGACAAGGTTCTGGTCCTACAAGGCATCGCAAGCCTGTCCCAAAAACCCCTCGGGGTTAATTCCATTGTGGGATAGCTACCCACAGTGCACTGTTCTATGCATCATGCAAGTGCTTCTAGTGAGGATGCACTCCACCAACACAATGAGTGGGGTGTAGATACTCTGGACCAACTTAATTACTGAGGCATCCAGCTGTCAACTTAACTATGACGTGTAGATATGCCCTTACTGTATTTGTACTATTGATCTGTTACAAAACATACTTTCTTTATCATAAGACCTGGTGTTAATTACTTTTTGGAGATGAGTAAAGAAAGTTTTCATGGCTGTTGTATTGCTACATTTTAATTATATTTCCAGTAAAAGGAGAAAATCACAGATTAAACTAAAGCATCACTGTGGAAAGTAGAAAGGGGCACCTGGGGCAAGAATGTTGGGGACCCAAATATCTGAACTGAAAAACTGATGACAGTTAACAAAAAGGTGCTGAATTAAGCAGCATTCATCCACCCATTCTTCTACATGCTCTTTTGAGTTTTTTTAAAAACAGGTTGGAACTAACCCTCTGCTTGCACATTTTCCTTCATTCCTCTGAACTGATGCTAGGCAGGCCTCTAACATGTGCTGGCTCCCCCTCCCTCAGTCTCCTCCATCTCTCTCTCTCCTCTGTTACCCTTTCATCTCTGCAGGTGGAGCCGTCACCAATCAGGATTCTCCATTTGTTGCCTATGTGGGGGTCATGAGTGGCCTAACACCCTAATCTCTTTTCCTGAATAGAGATCTAAATCAATCTGATCTATTACTTGTGCAGTAGCTTGTGTAAACTGAAGAGACATCACTCACGCTGCTCTCAGAGCAGTTGTGAAGTAGCCTTCCAGTCTCTCAGATATATGTTACAGCTAATGTTCATGCAGAGACATCGTGACTAACACAGGCTCAATTTCCCCTGAACATACTAAGTCAGCCCCCAGGGCAAATTGGGATTAGGGATCTGTCACATTTCTAGTGGGTGGCAGATCACCGCTCATCCCCTATTTACTAGCTAGGATGATCCACACTTATAAATATATAGTGGGCACATCTGACCCAACAATACAGTAACCCTGTACAAAGCATAAGTTAAAAGCCTTTATAAAAAGAATGCTGTCAAGGGTCTGCATTAATTTCCACATTTTTAAAAATTTATTGTAAAAAATGTATTTTTCAAAAAATACACAGGACATTTTCCATTTTTATAGTAGTAAAAATATGCCAGCTCTACCACTCAAATGGTAAAACTGTTCATTTTCTTGCCATAGAGCAATCTATATTTAATAAACTTCAAACAACACATGTCGATAGGTAGAGTACTATAGACAAACTACAAACGTAGAATCCTCTGGGTGAAAAAAAATCTAGATATACATATTTACATCATGAGCTAACGCTTCTACTTCTTAACACCAATGCAGCTGCAGAGCACCACCAGGGATTGCAGAAGGTCTATCCCTGTATCCAGATTCCTTGCAGACTTGGTTATTTAGACTGTATTACAACAGTAGCCACATTATAGTTTTTGTGGGGTTGGTCCATGGGTATCGCTCCAACAGAATGCTAGAAAACAGGTGGAGATTCTGTCTCAGGTGCTTGGTTCATTGGCTGCCACAGAGTAAGAACTGTATATAAAGTATGCACCACAGCCCTACTGGTTAAGCAGAAGCATTAGCTACAAGAGGAGTCCCATCTAGCCAGATGGAGCCAGGGCCTTTGGAATTGATGCTGAAAGTTGCCTACAAGCCTGCTTCTATTTGGATAATGATTGTCTGAAGATATTATTTTAAAATATTTTTTGAGACGATTCTGTCTCAAGATCTGCATGTATAGTTCCCCTGGCTTTCCATTTCCAAGGGCAGAATTCCTTCCTTCAAGCAGGCTAATATCCAGTTGTTTCAATTTAAAGTAAACAAGACAGCAATTCTCAAACAGATGGGAATCCAGCTGCTGTATTCCCAAGTTACAACCCCTTTCCCCCTCCCTGCAAAAAACTCACTGTGGGTTAGCTTGGAAAAAATCAGGGGGCCAATTCAATACATTATACTGCAGGAAAGACTAGCTATTTGACACCCTTAAGATTCAGCATCTTCCTCCTCACTCTCTTCCTCTTGGTCATCATCGTCATCATCATCTTCCTCCACCTCTCCATCCCTCTTCTCTCTTTCAAGCATTTTCAGGTATTTGCTAGCGAGGATCTTCTTTGGTAAGATATCTGAAAGGCACAATTCCTTCTTTTGTAATCATTTTTGACAGTTACAAAAGAGATTTAGAATAATTTATTCCTGTACCATCAAGATCATAGCAACTAACAGCCTCATAGTCTATGGGCTGCAATTTTTTAGGCTATGGAATAGTCAGGTTATTCTAATCTAACTGGTATCCGTGGAATAGGAATGTAGCCATTGTGATATTAGAGAGATTGTCAGATTAAGTGATTATGCCGATATAGTAATTTCTTAAGTCTTACTCACTTATGCTGCTTTGCTTTTTACTTGCACTGATCAAGTACATCTTAAGTGTATTACTTAATTATATCTACTCTATTTATACTCCTTAGAAGCTATTTCCCTCTACTCAGTGTAGGCTGCCTGTTCAGGGTAATGCTATCACGATGAGCCCAAGAACAGTAAGGAAATATTGCTAAAAGGTGCCACAAGTGGGGCTGATGCACTAGTAAAATCATATTAACAAGGAGATCTCACTCCTTAGACCAAAGAATTTTATTTGAAGAGGGGCAAGCATTATTCTAAATGCCCAATCAATGTACAGGATTTAAGACAACACGGATTGTGGCATAAACCAATGTCTGAAAGGACATTTGTAAATTTAAAATTCATCAATATAGAGTTCTGGGCACATATGATGTTTCATAAAATCCTTCTTCTGCTTCCCCAAACACTATAAAGATTTAAGGGAGTGTTGTCTATTGGTTAAAGCAGAAGATAGGAGTCACTTACCTCCCCGATTTTATTCCTAGCTCTTAAAAACTGACTTTAAAGTCACTTTAATCAATCTGAACCTGAGCTTTCCCATTTTTAAATTAGGGACACTATCCACCACCCAGGGATACTATTAAAAGGCGTTGGAAAGAAGTAGCTTGAAGTTATTGGAATGTCAAGTATGACTTACAATAATTGGAGGTGCAATTATTTTGTCCCATGACTTTGTGTACTTTGCATCAATAAAAAAAGCAGCTCATTCATTCACACAGAATGCTTGTCAATTATTTGGACCATGAGTAAATTAAATGCAACAGAGGTTAACAGCCAAAAAGAGAATTTAATAATAATAGTGACTGCTACAGTAAGAGCTGCATCTTATTTTCCAGTTGCCCATATCGATTTGCCACAACTGCTATACCTACCAGCAAGGAACTGAAACGTTTCAGATTCCTCCGCTGTATGGGATAAGTCACTGTAGGTTAGGGCTCTCTTCTCTTTTCCACGGCCATGTTTGTAGGAGTAAGTGGCTAAATACTGGACAAAGAGCTCCTATAAAAAACCAACAAAAAGAAATCTGTCAAATTAATTCCTGTGTGTACAGCTGACTGCAATGCTTCTTCAAGCCCTTGTTTAGGGCCCAGTCCTGCCATTAACTGCATGCAGCCACTGCCCTGCACCTACACAGAGTCCCACCAATTTCGATATGGCTCAGTGAGAGCAGATGATGTGTACCTCTGAGTAGCCAACTGCAAAACTGGGGTCTTAGACTAACCCTTAATTTGTACCACTCTATCAAGTTAATCACTGCAGCAGGCTTTACGGGAACAGAAGACAGCAAGAAATTATTTCTGCAGGTATGTGATTAAATACTGCAAAAATAGCTTGCTGCTTTCTGCTACTTATAATGATAAATTTCAGAGTAGCAGCCATGTTAGTCTGTATTCGCAAAAAGAAAATGAGTACTTGTGGCACCTTAAAGACTAACCAATTTATTTGAGCATAAGCTTTCGTGAGCTACAGCTCACTTCATTGGATGCATACTGTGGAAAGTGTAGAAGATCTTTTTATACACACAAAGCATGAAAAAATACCTCCCCCCCCCTCTCCTGCTGGTAATGGCTTATCTAAAGTGACCACTCTCCTTACAATGTGTATGATAATCAAGTTGGGCCATTTCCAGCACAAATCCAGGTTCCACCCCCCCACAAACCCACTCTCCTGCTGGTAATAGCCGTCACCTTCAGCCCCCAACTAAAACCCCTCCAACGCATTATTAAGGATCTACAACCTATCCTGAAAGATGACCCAACACTCTCACAAATCTTGGGAGACAGGCCAGTCCTTGCCTACAGACAGCCCCCCAACCTGAAGCAAATACTCACCAGCAACCACATACCACACAACAGAACCACTAACCCAGGAACCTATCCTTGCAACAAAGCCCGTTGCCAACTGTGCCCACATATCTATTCAGGGGACACCATCACAGGGCCTAATAACATCAGCCACACCATCAGAGGCTCGTTCACCCGCACATCCACCAATGTGATATATGCCATCATGTGCCAGCAATGCCCCTCTGCCATGTACATTGGTTGAACTGGACAGTCTCTACGTAAAAGACTAAATGGACACAAATCAGATGTCAAGAATTATAACATTCATAAACCAGTCGGAGAACACTTCAATCTCTCTAGTCACGCGATTAGAGACATGAAAGTTGCGATATTACAACAGAAAAACTTCAAATCCAGACTCCAGCGAGAGATTGCTGAATTGGAATTCATTTGCAAATTGGATACAACTAACTTAGGCTTGAATAGAGACTGGGAGTGGCTAAGTCATTATGCAAGGTAACCTATTTCCCCTTGTTTTCCAGCCCCCCCACCCCCCCTAGACGTTCTTGTTAAACCCTGGATTTGTGCTGGAAATGGCCCGCCTTGATTATCATACACATTGTAAGGAGAGTGGTCACTTTAGATAAGCTATTACCAGCAGGAGAGTGTGGGGGGAGGGGGGGGCGGGAGGAGGTATTTCTTCATGCTTTGTGTGTATAAAAAGATCTTCTACACTTTCCACAGTATGCATCCGATGAACTGAGCTGTAGCTCACGAAAGCTTATGCTCAAATAAATTAGTCAGTCTCTAAGGTGCCACAAGTCCTCCTTTTCTTTTTGCGTGTTTAATGGAAGCAGGCCAGGGGATGGCAGAGGCCCCCCTACAGGCGGATTTTTGCCACGTGACAGGCTGCAACATACCAAAAAAAAAAAAAAAAAAACAACCACCTGAAGAGTGAGGCCAATTCACCTTTCTTTGGAGAACCGGTGTGAACTACTTCCTTTACGCCCTCCTCCTTCCCCCACCCTCCAGGGGCTGGCAAGCGGGCGAGGGCAGCTGCTTCCAAAGCCTTGTCTAAAGCAGGGTAGCCCCCCCCCCCCCCCGGCGCGTGGCTCGTGCCCCGGGGGCAGGAGCGGGGGCAGGGAGGGACACAGAGCACGAATCGCGCCCGGACTCGGGCCCAGCCCATCGGCTCAGGCCCCTGGCGTCCCGGCAACAGCCCCAGCCCCACGGTGCGGGGAGCCGCTCGGCCCTGGGCTGCTTCCCCCCGCCCCCTCCCCGCACCAGGCGCCGGGGCAGGGACGGCGGGAGGCCCGGGCCGGGTACCGTGGCCTTGGCGGTGAGGAACAGCGCGTCCTGGTTGATGCTGGAGACCTCCGGCGAGCTCTTCATGATCACCCGGATCCGGGAGAGGGGCAGCGACACCAGACGGTTCTCGCCGCCGCCGCTCAGCCGCGCCGCCGCCATTTTCCTACCCCGCCAGCCGCCGCTCCCGTCGTTAAAAGGCGCCCGGCCGGGGAGCAGAGCCCTTTGGGAGTGGTAGTTTTGTGCCGCAAGGCAGCTCGGGCACGCTGGGAGGAGGGCAGGCGGAGGACTACAACTCCCATGATGCGCCTCTCCTCAGCTCGCCTCGCCCACCCTGCTCTCCTTGCGGCCGGGTGACAGAGGGCGGGCTACGACTCCCGTCATGCATCTGCCCACCTCTTTCGCCCGGCGCCTGGCGGAGGCTGCGCCCGGCTCTGTTGACTCTAAGGCAGTAGCGTGCCCACAGCGTGCTTTGAGTGCGCTCTAGCGGCAGGTTTCGGAGCAGCCGCCCTGTCCGTCTGTGTTCGCAAAAAGAAAAGCAGGACTTGTGGCGCCTTAGAGACTCACCAGTCTAGTGGGGCAGAAGCTTTCGTGAGCTACAGCTCACTTCCTCGGATGCGTTCAGTGGTCGTCCTAATTGCAGAGCAGATTAGAGCAGGACCTTTGTGCTTTCAGAGTGAATGTAGAACAGGACGGATTGTGAGGAAGAAAACTCAAGAGCTCCGTCTTTCATTATTATATATTGCCTGGGTGCATATAACGTTTGTCTTATCTGTCTACCTACCTAGACAACCAGGTGAAATCCTGGTCCCATGCAAATCCGTGTGTGCTAAATGAGAGCCACAATTTTCCCCATAGTATTTGAGCACCTGTAAGTGCGCACATTGTTATAGGCTGGCTTGCATTACAGCTCAGAATCACATTAGCTAAACTAATGTAACATTAGTTACATGTAATGATGGATACTTTGCATTTCTATAGCGCCTGCAGTCAGAAGTTCTCAAAGTATTCTACAAACAACAGGCTTTAGCACCCATGTGATGTAGGTAAGACGCTGAAGGTGAGCCCTTAACTAACCTATCACTGCTCATATCTAGGGTGAAACATGGCAGCTTTCAACAGTATATAATAATGTTAAAATTATATAATACATAGGTTAAGGAAAGAGTGTCTGTACATCTGGGTGAAGTGCTTCGACTATCCAAAAGTACAAAATCTGGTTTAAAAGTCAGAAGATACTTTTAGTACATAATCTGCAATAACCCAAATTTAGGTGAATACATTTAATGGTACAGTTTAGATATGAGATTCTGAATACTCAGGTACATCACTCAGGAAAAGTTATACAGACAGTTGGTTGTAGTGAGCAAATATAGGAATAAATGTAGATTGTCCCTCAGCAATTGAGCATTTAGGATAGGTTGTCCCTTAGAAGATATAATCCACCAGAGAAGTATTTCTGTTACTTTCCGATTTTGTTTCTCATTGGCACTCCAGCTCATCTCTCCTGGTATTGCCGATGTTCAGTGATGTGTTCTAGATAGATGTCCCTCAACCACCTGATGGCGTCTGACACCATGAAGTGTTGCATCAGCCAAGCGTAGCATTCACCGATTCCGCATTCTCAACACTCGCTCCTTATCGGGGTCCCAGGCTCCCAGGGCTCCGACGATCAGAGTGTGAGTTAGAACCTGGTTACCCCTAGCTCTCAAGGTGTCGGCCTGAGGGGTGTATTTCTCCACCTTTCAACCTCGGGCTTTGTGGAAAGCCGGGGTCCTATTCTCAAAGGGCACTGTGACAACCAACATGATGATCTTTTGGTCCTTATTGATGATGATGATGTCCGGTCACAGTTGGCTATCCGTTCCGGGGATGGCAGAGTTCATGGTCACCTTTCTCACAGGTGGCAGTATGGCTCTGACTAGTCAGTCTTGGATGGTGTTGTGGCACAGCTGCTAGGCTCTGGAATGGGGCTTGTAGCTACAAAGGACATGGGGTAGTGTCTCATTAGCATAGCCACGCTTCCTGCATTGCTTGTCCCAATTCCCGTGGCGGACAGCTCCGTTCAGTGGGACACAGTTGATGAACCTAGGACTGGAATGGAAGACAGACATATCCAATTGAAAATGCAGTTAGAAGTTTACTGGTAAACTAGCGATAATCTCTTGCAAAAGTGTCGCGGAATTGAACCCAAATAATTATCTAATCTGAAAGAAGGCATCTGCAGCACTACCCTACACCCTAACGCCGTGAGGGGGCACTGCTTAAGTCCTGCCTCACTAGCATCATCTCCAGTAGCATTATATTTGGAGGTCTCCTATGCAATTAGTAACCATGTGCAAACTAAAGCTCATGGGTTACAAATTCCATTTAGATTGTAACCTTTTTAGGACAGGGATTTGTTTTTTTACTTGGTATAAAATATTATGTTTGCTGTAAAACATCATTCATCATGGTCCTATATGTTAGTATTTAACCCTGTGTCTAACTATTCTTTGATCTTACCTTGTAATGACCTCTTGTGGTAGTAGTTAGTATTACTATCTCAGTGAAATAATTTATACTGTCAATCAACTGGAGCTAAGATCAAGTGTAGTACTTAGTATGTGAATCACTGGTTTTTCTGGGTGAAATCAGAACTACTCAACTGTCATTAACCCTCCTGGTCAATGGAAGGTGTACTAGGCTGGATTTGGTTAATACTCCTGGCATGTGGCAGGGGTATTAATTTTTTTGCAGCTCTCACCCATGTTTGGTGAGTGGTGACTGAAGCCAGGAAATAAGGGTTAGTCTCTTAGCAGCATTCATGTGTCACACTTTATCATAGAATCATAGACTTTAAGGTCAGAAGGGACCATTATGATCGTCTAGTCTGACCTCCTGCACAATGCAGGCCACAGAATCCCACCCACCCACTCCTGTAACAAACCCATAACCTATGTCTGAGTTGTTGAAGTCCTCAAATCATGGTTGAAAGACTTCAAGGTGCAGAGAATCCTCCAGCAAGTGACCCGTGCCCCATGCTGCAGAGGAAGGTGAAAAACCCCCAGGGCCTCTGTCAATCTGCCATGGAGGAAAATTCCTTCCCGACCTCAAACGTGGTGATCAGCTGAACCCTGAGCATGTGGGCAAGACTCACCAGCCAGACACCCAGGAAAGAATTCTCTATAGTAACTCAGATCCCACCCCATCTAACATCCCATCACAGACCATTGGGCATATGTACCGCTAATAGTCAAAGATCAATTCATTGCCAAAATTAAGCTATCCCATCATACCATCCGCTCCATAAACTTATCAAGCTTATTCTTGAAGTGAGATATGTCCTTTGCCCCCCCACTGCTCCCCTTGGAAGGCTGTTCCAGAACTTCACTCCTCTGATGGTTAGAAACCTTCATCTAATTTCAAGTCTAAACTTCCTGGTGGCCAAGTTATAACCATTTGTTCTTGTGTCCACATTGGTACTGAGCTTAAATAATTCCTCTCCCTCCATGGTATTTATCTCTCTGATGTATTTATAGAGAGCAATCATATCTCCCCTCAACCTTCTTTTGGTTAGGTTATACAAGCCAAGCTCTTTGTGTCTCCTTTCATAAGACAGGTTTTCCATTCCTCGGATCATCCTAGTAGCCCTTCTCTGTACCTGTTCCAGTTTGAATTCATCCTTCTTAAACATGGGAGACCAGAACTGTACACAATATTCCAGATCAGGTTTCACCAGTGCCTTGTATACCAGTACTAGCACCTCCTTATCTCTACTGGAAATACCTCACCTGATGCATCCCAAGACCGCATTAGCTTTTTTCACGGCCATATCACATTTGGCGGCTCACAGTCATCCTGTGATCAACCAATACTCCGAGGTCTTTCTCCTCCCCTGTTCGAGTTTGTCTTCTACCTCAGATATGGTAATATCTACAAAAAGAAAAGGAGTACTTGGACTCCTTTTCTTTTTGCGAATACAGACTAACACGGCTGTTACTCTGAAACCTGGTAATATCCATATCCTCATTCCCATTTGTCATCCTACCATTATCCCTAAGCTCCTCATTAGCCTCATTAAAGACTGAGGCAAAGTATTTATTTAGATATTGGGTCATGCATAGATTATTCTTAACCTCCACTCCATCCTCAGTATTTAGCGGTCCCACTTCTTCTTTCTTTGTTTTCTTCTTATTTATATGGCTATAGAACCTTTTACTATTGGTTTTAATTCCCTTTGCAAGGTCCAACTCGACATGGCTTTTGGCCTTTCTCACTTTATCCCTACATGTTCTGACCTCAATAAGGTAGCTTTCCTTGCTGATCCCTCCCATCTTCCACTTCTTGTAGGCTTTCTGCTTTTTCTTAATCACCTCTCTGAGATGCTTGCTCATCCAGCTTGGTCTACAACTCCTGCCTATGATTTTTCCCCCTTTCTTTCTTATACACCTCTACCCCAATATAACAGAAATTCGGATATAATGCGGTAAAGCAACAATGGTTTTCTATCTCGTCTACAACATTGGTTCTTAAAATGGGGGTCGCAGCCTGGTTATGTGGGGGGTCGCGAGCCCCGAGCCCAGTGCGCGGCTGCAAGTTGCAAGCCCCGACCGTGACGCATGACTGCGAGCCCCGACCCTGTTTGGAGCTGTGAGACTATGAGGCCCGACCCCAGCGCGCGGCTGTGAGTCCAGACCCCGATCCCTGTGCCGGGCTGTGAGCCCCGACCCCGATCCCTGTGCCGGGCTGTGAGCCCCGACCCCGACAGGGATGCGTGGTTGCAAGCCCCGACCCCGGTGCGTGGCTGTGAGCCCCGACTCCAGTGCGCAGCTGTGAGCCCTGAACCCTGCGCCTGGCTGTGAGCCCCAAACCTGACAGGGACGCGTGGCTGCAAGCCGTGACCCCGGTGCCGGGCTGTGAGCCCCGACCTCTGTGCCGGGCTGCGAGCCCCAACCCCGGGCTGTGAGCCCTGACCCTGACAGGGACGCGTAGCTGCAAGCCCTGACCCCGGTGCCAGGCTGTGAGCCCCGACCCTGGGCTGTGAGCCCCGACTCCAACAGGGACACGTGGCTGCAAGCCCTGACCCCGGTGCCCGGCTGTGAGTCCCGACCCCAGTGCTGGGCTGTGAGCCCCAACCCCTGCGCCAGGCTATGAGCCCCAACCCCGGCGCACAGCTGCAAGACCCAACCCCGGGCTGTGAGCCCCGACCCCGACAAGG